GAGAAAAATTTAAGGAGAAATGTCCAGCTGTTTCTCGTATCTGCTAATACACTGAATGTACTGAGACATCACACATCATGCAGCCTTGGAAAATTCCACTGTATCCTTGAGAGAGAATAAAAGCAAAAAAGGCAAATAACATCTTAGTATTACTATGAAAATAGTTTTAACCTCACAGACCCCCAAAAGGGTCTTGAGGATCCCAGACCGCACTGTGAGTACTGCTGGATTAATTTATGATTTCTACATTCAGTTCTAATAAACTGCAATTTTTAAGAAAATTTTCTGGATCATACAAGTGTTCAAATATATTTTTGGGGTCAAGCAAAAGAGTCCATTTCGATTCTTTTATTTTCTCTTTATCTGTGGTGTTTTCCCCTCTTATTTTTTGAGTATGCATGTTAGCTCCATTCAGTCTTTAAGTTAGTGAGCAATTTATCTGTTTTATTGCAAACAACAACTTTAGTTACAGAGTTCTACTTTTATTTCAGTTTACTAGTTCATTGATCGCTGTTTTTTATCTTTAACAACTACTTTATCTTTTCTTAGGTGTATTTTGATATTATCTTTCTAACTTCTTGAGTTGGACTACTTAGTTTACTTATTTCATTCTTTCTTATTTATGAATGTATTTTTTAAGGCTATGAATTTTCCTGTAAGCACTGCATTAGCTGAATTTCATAGATTTTTCCTATATAATCTTTAATTATCATCTTTTTATAGTCTACCTCTTTGACCCAAGAAGTACTTATTTCAGAATTTGGAAAATTTCCAGGTGGCCAGGCCTTTTTGTTCTCGAGCTTTGCTATTAATTTCTAGTTTCAGTGATCCCACTTCCTCTGTCAGTTGCCTCTCTTATTTCTTCCCTTTTCTTTGAGATGAAGTCTCGCTATTCTATAGCCCAGGCCGGAATGAAGTGGTGTGATCTTGGCTAACTGCAACCTCCGCCTCCCGAGTTCAAGTGATTCTCCTGCCTCAGCCTCCCGAGTGGCTGGGATTACAGGCACGCACCACTGCACCTGGCTAATTTTTACTATTTTTAGTAGAAATGGGGTTTCATCATGTTGGCCAGGCTGGTCTTAAACTCCTGACCTCAGGTGATCCACCCGCCTCGGCCTCTCAAAGTGCTAGATTACAGGCGTGAGCCACCATGCCCAGCCTCTTCCGTTTTCTTTGCAGCAAAACTCTCTAAAAGAGTTGTTTGTACTTGCTATATCTAATTCCCATCTTTCTGTTCTCTCTTAAATTCACTTTAACTTCAGGCTTCCCCTACCAACATGTCCACATTGCTAAATCAATGTTATTGATTTAGCATTCCTCACCTTACCTGAATTATCAGCCTAATCTGGCAAAGTTAATCAATCAAAATTTGATTTTTTTAATGCATGGTGTGAACAGGGTCCAAGATTCATTTTTTTTTCCCTATATGGGTATCCACTTGATTTAGTGAAATCGCTATTTCTACCCACTGCATTATTTATCTTCTACCTAATGCATTACCACACTTGTCACAAATCAAATATCCATATATGTGTAGGTTATTTCTAGATTCTATAGTATGCCTTTATTCTATTTGTCAGTCCTTGAATTAATATCCCCTTGACTTGATTATTACTGTTTATAATAAGTTTGATATCTATGGATGTATATTCCATAATTTCGTTCTTCTTCTTCCTGTCTTGGCTATTCTTGCCTTTTTCAACTTTCATATAAGTTTTAAAATCAGCTCGTTGATTTTATTGAAAAAAAAACTGCTGGGATTTTTCATTGTGATTTCACTAAACCTATACAGATCAATTTAGGAATGAAGAAAAACTGACATCTTCATTGAATCCTCCAATCCATAAACAACAGTATATATACTTCTATTTAAGTTATCTTTAATTTTTCTATGTAATGACTTATAGTTTTCTATGTAGAGTTACACATATCTTTAGTTAGATTTATCCCTACATATTTGATGTTTTTTGACGCAAATTCAAATCATATATTATGTTAATTTTGTCACTGTTACTTTACAGAAATACCACTACGTACTGAAAGGAAAACTGCTAAATTCACTTATTAATCCTAACAATTTTCTAAGTACATAAGTATGTCATCCATAAAAATGATACTTTTTCTTTTCTACTCCTTATACTTTTCATTTATTTTTCTTGCATTATTATACTGGATAGAACAACCAGCCGGTCCCTCCATTCGGGGTCCCTGACTTGCCACAAGAATACTGAATAGGAAAGATGATGAAAGATATTCTTGATTTCTCATCTCACAAAGAATGTTTTAATATTGCACTATTAAATATGATGTTTGCTGTGGGTTTTGTAGCTAATGTTTCAAACTCTGCAAGTTTTTCTCTGTTCCTAGCTTGCTCAGAATTTTAAGAAAGAACAAATACTGAATTTTATCAAATGCTTTTCTTTTTTTTTTTGAGACAGTGTTTTGTTCTTGTTGCCCAGACTGGAGTGCAATGGCACGATCCCAGCTAACCAGAACCTCTGCCTCCCGGGTTCAAGTGATTCTCCTGCCTCAGCCTCCCGAGTAGCTGGGATTACAGGCATGCATCACCATGCCTGGCTAATTTTGTATTTTTAGTAGAGACAGGGTTTCTCCATGTTGGTCAGGCTGGTCTCGAACTCCCGACCTCAGATGATCCACCCACCTCAGCCTCCCAAAGCACCTCCCAAAGGATTACAGGCGTGAGCCACTGCGACTGGCCCTATCAAATGCTCTTCTTAGCATTTGGTCATCTTGGCTTTTAGCACTGCCATTTCAGCATTAACATATTAACCTATCCATAACTTTTCTCCTTTATTTTATTAATATAGTGAATTACACTGATTGATTTTTCACTGTTAAACCAACCTTATATTCCTGGAAAAATATGAATTGGGTCAAAATATATTAATTCTCCCTTTGTGTTATAGATATAATTTGATAATATGTTATTTAGGACGTTTCCTCCTTATTCATGAGCGATTTGGCTGTTATTTTTTGTTTGTAATCTAGTGTATTTTGTGAAATGTGATCTAATCAGAGAAATGAGCACATGCTCCTGCTATGACTAAAATCTATTAGTCAAGGATGTGGATGACAACCACATCCTTGTCATGTTGTAGTATCAACATGTACTATGGTACACTTAGGTGTGATGTTCTTTTAATGTTACTCTGCTTGAGATTTATAATACTTCCTGAATCTGTGCCTTAATGTCTTCTATCAACTTCTAGAGATTCCTCAGCCATTGCTTCTTTAAAGACTGCTCCTGCTACATTTACCCTCTCCTCTCCTTCTAGGACCTTAATTACTTTTTCAAAACATTTTGTGCCAGATTACAGATGGGAGATTAAAAAGGTTTTGACCTTGCATCCCTTTGACAACCAGGGTGGAGGGAGGGCTGTGTCTTCTCCCCGCGACTCTGAGCAAGCTGTGTGACACGGCTAATCAACAGAATATGGAAATGTGATGTTATGCCAGGGTCTGGGCCCACATCTTCAGACACTATGAGTCCTCACACTTCCTCTTTCTTGAAATGTTTGCTCTGGCAGAAAGTAGCTGCCATGTAGTTAGTCCAATTACCCCTAAGACTTCCCTGAGACTGCCATTTATGGAGACAGAAAAATGTTGGCACCTAATAGTGCAGAAGCCATCTTGGAGGTTCCAGCCCTGGGAGATGACATGAGATGGACCAAGACCCGGGACATAAGGCTCCATTGCCACTATCCCAGCCATTTTTAAGCTGTCTGAACCATTCCAATCACAGACCAAGACACTGTAGAGCACAGGCAAGCCAAACCTGATACACCCTGACTGAATTCCTGATTCTCAGAATCATGAGCATTAAAAATAGTTGTTTTATGCCAATAAGTTTTGGGGTCATTTGTTACTGGAAAGTTAATCCTCCTTGGAGGCCCCGAGGGTCCCTACACATTCTTACTGATGTCTCAAGAACACAAAGCCCTGACTACTCTTTGCCTAGGACATATCCCAGGGCTCTGTTTGCAGCTAGCAAACTTAAGGGATGAGTTACATCTCTGTCCAGCAGGTGGCTAGAAACACGAGTCACAGATCACCTTAATGTATTCGGTGAGTGAGATATTTCAAAGTTGGGATTTATTTCTAAAGCATAGCACTTTAGGATTCCAAACGAAGCCTGAATGGCTTACCAGCACCAACCTTCCAGCCTTGCTGAGCTCTAAACACCTGTTTTTGTTTCTCTATCCCTAAGTGTCCATAAAAAGCTCTGCTCATCTTCTAATTCACATTTCCCAGAATCAGTACATGCTACTAAGAAGAATAGTAGCCTGAAGTGCTGGGCTTATCTCTCTGCCTCAATAGCATTCAGATACATTTGAATACAACATACATGTCTTTTATATTTTGAATAATTTTTCTCATTTTTTAGATTATCAATCCAAATTACTTTAGCCAACATTACTGAAAGTGGAACTCCTCCACAAACAGATTTAATATGTTTAATACTTAAGGCGTTTAGAAGTTCTGTTTTTTCCCCTTTCCCTCCACTATAGGCTAAATCCACATAGAATGTTTGTTTTTGAACAGGCACTCGACCAGGCATCTTTAAAGGTGATACACATTTTCAAATAAACCGAAAAGATAACACTTTGCTAATCTAGTGAAACATCTTCATAAAATATCATTTGCACAAAAACATTTTATTTGAAGTAGCAAAGACAAACCATCTGGAATACAACAACTTAAAAAAAAATCTTTTTAAAGAAATAAAGTAATAAATCAGAGGAGAAGAGAAAAGCTATATCAACTTTCATATTTTAGTATCTTCCTCTTCTAATTGTCTCTTAAGTATTTACTAAGATTACCTAGAAATAGTGTCATTTACATACATGACTTAGGTTTTAAAAACATTCCAAACATAATAGATTTTTTTTCTGGTATTCTTTTTCCCTTGGAAAACTATGTAATTTTATTAAAATTTGTAGTGAAAGTCTGAGAGAAACATCATGTCTACCAACACTTACAGTGGAAAATACGAAAATCAATATACGGGTGAGAACCTCTTCTTTCTGATTCAAATCCTGCTCGGCTCCTTACACGTACATCTCCTGGACAGAATCAAGAATAAAACATAAGTTTAGAAGGTTATCGCTCAGGAAGAAGCTTCCATAAGCAACAAAGGTCCATGTGGTATCATATTCGTAAGTGACAGCCCACTGATGATATATGTGGAACAGGTAGTTAGGAGCTGATTTATTTGAAAGAGTTCACAAAATTTCAGTAATGAACTGTACGGCTGAATGAGGAGGACTTTTTAAAATCTACCCCTACAATAATTATTATAATCTATATTTTAATAAGTTAGCCTTTTGAAATAGGATTCAAGTATATGATAAGACGACCTAACATGTTATTCATATGGGCAACGTTTTTTTTTTTTTTTAAAAGGCCATTGGGAAACAGTATCTGTTTTACAGGAGGTTGAAAATCCTCAGCACAAATCTTGAGCCGACTGTGCCTAGCACTATAGTATGGGCTAAAAGGGATATGAAAAATGGAAAATATATTACTTATTTTCAAGCAGTTTGCAATTTCATAAATGTGTAAAAACTTAAAATGTTAAAGATTTTGTTTTAAAGTCAACCTGATTAATCACTCTTTTCTCACTGACAGCAGGTACACCCAAGGCCTTTAGCTGAGTCTTAAACTTTGGTCTTTGTAAGCTCAGTGTGGTTCCTACATGTGCCCACATTACTTCCACATTTATTTTTCTATACAGCAACATAACCATAGCAACCATGGTCTAGACGCTCTTTTTTGTGTTTTGCAGGCATTATTTTATTTTCTTCTCTCGTCAACCTTCAGAGATAGGAATCTTAATCCTCATTTTACAGATTCAAAAACTTGACTTTGAGAAGTTAAATAGCATGCTCCATGCCACAAAGCTAGTACAAAGGGTGAGTCAGGATTTAAACCCAGCTCCGTGAGTTCCAAACACAGCACTTTTCCCAGTACACTTTTATAGCCTCCAAGTTCATAACCTTTAAATCTTCAGCCTCTATTCCTGTGCTCTCGCAATTTGGCTTGCTTAGAGGGCACTCCTGCTTACTCTGTTTCTCTCAGTAAGACCATCACTTCCTCCAAGGCTCACTTCATCGACTATAATTCCATCCCACAATGACTAGTCACCTGTCCTGTGGCCATTCCTTCACGCTGCAACAAACGTTAACAAGTCAAGCACTGGAAATACAGCAGAGGGCAAAATACATAAAGTCCCTTCACTGTCCTCACGAAGCTTATCTTTTTGTGTGATGACACAAATAATAAATACCAAATTTCAGTGGAAGATGATGAGTTACATGGACAAAACTAAAGGTGAGAGGAATAGCAAGAGAGGAGCAGGGGAGGGTGACTCATTAGTGCAGTCAGAGAAGGCCTCACTGAAAAGGAGGCGTCTGGGCAGGGACCTGAAGGAAGCGAGGCAGGAGCCAGGGAGGAAGAGGCTTCCAGGCATGAGGAAGAGAGAGCATAAAACTCCCTGAGACAGAAGCATGCTTGGCAAGGTCAAGGGCAAGCCAAGAGGCCGGCGCAGCAGGAGCAAGGTGAGTGAGGGGAACCGGTGGGGGTTGGGTAGAGAGGCAGTGGGGTCAGATCGTGCTAGACATTTGCGGCCATCAAAGACTTATGAATAGAGAAGTCAGATTATGTCTGAAAAGGTTCCCTCTAGGTGTGAGGAGAACAGAGTCAGTCAGGGAACACAGGTAGACACAGGGCCTCCAGTTAAGGAGTAAGTAATAAATGTGGTGGTAACAGCATTGGTGTGGTGAGATTTGAGTGTATTAAAGGTATCAACCAGTAGGATCTGCTGATGAATTCAATATGGAGTGTGTAAGAAATAGGAAGTAAAAAATTGACTCTGAGGTTTCTGACCTGATGACAGGAAGAAGGGAGTTATATTTACTGAGATGGCAAAAGACTGCAGAACAGACAGACATGGGGAACACAAATGTTTTGCTTTAGACATGTTAAGTTTGAGATATCCATAACATTTACATGGAGATGTTTTACAAAGTTAAAGAAAATATGAATGCAAAGCTCTGTCTTAAGGACAGCGGAATCCTGAACATGTTTATTAGAGAAAGATGGAGACAGCAAGGAGAAAAAGGCTGTGCATTCGTGGGGGGAAAATATGTACTGGAATAGAAAAGAACTGAGGCAGGTAAGATACACAAGATAAAATAAAGAGGACAAAAAGGAATACGAGTTAAAACAGAACCTTGGGGAACATTTCAGCTTAAAAGTATGAAAAGGAATTAGTGAAGGTGGCAAAGGAGAAAACAAAAGTAGGTGAAGAATAAGGATAGATCAGTATCATAAAGTTGAGGGAGGAATTCTGAGCTGAGGAGGAGTCATAGGAGAGTCTTCTAACAAAAAACGAATAAATGTGCCTGTTGGAATCTTAATATGCATGTTTAATACTATGAGTTGAAGTGCAAGGATGAAGGAGACATGGATGAAGACAGAAATCTGGCACAGAGAAAAAGAGAAAAAGAAAATTAGAAATATATACGCACATATCTAAATTCATTTCACCTTGTGGAATTGACTAATACATAAAAAATTTAAGCACCAGAACTAGAAGTCAAATGGTCTTCCTTGCCAGCCAGCTGAGAACAAAATACATCTAGTCACAGGATGATCTGAGCAGGTATTTCATGGCCTCACCTTTGTCCATGCTGGCATTCATCTATTTGGTATTTAGCCACTGTACAAATCTAACACTATTTTCTATGAAGAATGTTCAAGATGCAATTTGAAACTGTGTACTAATGACAGTGTCCCAGTTATTAGGCCAAAGATTTCTCAATTATCTGTAACTCTAAAATGCTTCTCTTGATTCACATCACATTCAATATTTGTTTCTAGACTCTAAACTCCATGAATAGGTTATTTCTGCTACAAACAGCAATGAAAAGCTACCTAATGAAAGATACCTCAAACTCAAATAACAACAGATAATAACAAAATTAACTGATATTGGTATAAAATAAATAATGCTTACCTAGCATACGAATGTATAATGCAGTCTGATCAGAACTGTCATAGGAAATAGCTCCACGCCTCTAGAAAAAAAAATATGCATTATAATACATGACAATTAAATATGATATAAAATTCAACTCAACAAACATGTATTCATCATTTATTATTTGTGAAGCACTGTGCAAGAGAAGCTGGATATACAAAATGAAATTAGATATGGTACCTGTTCTTGAAATCTCTGGGGAATGGGGACAACAAATAATTCTAATACAGTATGGTTAAGAACTACCATAAAAATGGATACAAAGAGAGACACATGCAGCCTCTCTTTGGAAATTTAATCTGTTTGAGTAAGTCGGTAAAGGTTTTGGGGTGACATCTGTGTTGACTCAAAAGGGATCAATAGGAGTTGCCAAATATTAATAGAAAAGAAAGGAAAGGACGATCCACTGGCTTTCCTGCTGCATCTCTTTGGATCCCAGTCCATGCTTCATATAAGAGCAAAAGTAAACACTTCAGCTCCTGCTCAAACTCCTCCAAAGGCTCCCCATCACACTTGGGGCTCCCCAAGCTTTACTTTCGAGAGTCCTCGGTGACCTGCCTACCTCTGTGCCCTCTTGTACTGTGGCCTCCCCCACTGCTAGGAGACAGCCAAGCTGGCCTCCTTGCTTTTCCTCATCTACACCAAATATACAGCCTTTCCAATTGCTGTTCCCTCGTCCTGGATCACTGCTTCACTATTCCCTTCTCACCTTGCAGCTTCTAGACAAAGCGTCATCTCTTCAGAGAGAGATTACCTGACTATGAAATCTATAGCCACCTAGAAGCCACCCTCTTCCAAAGCTCCCTATGTCAGTCCTCTGTGTAGCATGCGGCTGAAGTTGTCTTGTCTGCATGTTACTAAAAGCTCCACAAGAGCAGAAACTCTGTCTATCTTAGTCATCACTGCATCCCTGGTCTCTAAAACAGGATCTATTATTTAGTAAGTTCTAAATAAAAATTTGGTAAATGAATGACTAAATGGACTTACTACAAATAAATAACTAATAAATATATTGATGAATAAATTAGTGACTAACAGAATGGATATAAGTGAGGATAGATTTTAAAATGAGGAAGATAAAATTGACCAAACCACAGTTTAGACATAGAATCTAAGTTCTGTGGAGGCAGGGTCTTCAGTCACTGCTATTTTCCCAGATCTAGGATAAATCTCAACATTTAGAACAGTCCCTAGCATGTCAAAAGTGATCAGTAAAATCAGTTGAATTAACAAGCAAAAAAAAAAAAAAAAAATGTTTAAGTAGTAATAGGCCAGGCATGGTGGCACACACCCGTAATCCCAGCTACTTGGGAGGCTGAGGCAGGAGGATCCCTTGAGCCTAGGAGTTGGAGGCTGCAGTGAGCTATGATGGTACCACTGCACTTCAGCTTGAGAGACAGAGTGAGACCCTGTCTCAAAAAAAAAGGGGGAGGGTGGGAAATGGACTAGCACTATGGGATATGAACAAAATAGTGTGACATTGCAAAGAAACAGAGAAAATAATCAATAGAGACTCTAGAAGCAAATCCAAGAGTACACAGTGATTCTGTATATGATAAATACAGGACTTAGAATCTGTGGAGGAAACATTGATTTTTAATAAATAATGTTAGATTAAGTGGTGCTATCTAGAAAAACATAAAGCTACATTACTACCTTCCTGCTCCAAAACATATTACACATGGAACAATGTTTAAATGTTAAAAATTAAAGCATGAAAGTATTAAAAGAAAACAGGACTATATTTGTAAAAGTCTTAAATAGGAAGGCCTTTCTAACTATCCTATAAAAATCCCTAAGTCAGGAAACACTGACAAATTTGGCCACTTAAAAGTTAAATTATGATGGTAAAAGATACCATTAACAAAGTAAAGGATAAACTTCAAACACAGAAACGTGAGTTCAACTGATATGACAAAGGGTTAATTTTCCTCTACTATCTCCCCACCAAAAAAAAATTTTGTCTTACAAATCTAGTTAGAAAAAGACTAAAGAGCTGTAGAAAAATAGGTAGGACATAAACATACTATTCACAAGGGAAAAATAAATAAATACAAAAAAATGCTTGACTTCATTAATAAAAGAAATACATATTAAAGCAATGAGATTGTATTTTTACATATCAGATTAATGATCGTGTTCCCTCACAAAATTCTGGCATGGGATTTACAACTCCTCAACACATACCTACAAATCTCAAAAAAAAAAAAAAAAAAAAATCACATTTTTTACTCTCATCATATTGAAAATTTACTTAAAGCCCTCACTTGGATTTAGTGTGCAACAACTACCCAATTAAGTTATTATATCCTTAATGCTTGACTTTTAAGAGAAAAATATCAATTAAAATCTTACATGATTTCACAAGTCCTTAAAAAAACACAGTTCATGAAATATAAGAGGAAAAAAAATTTCAAACAAAAATAAAATTCTAACTATCACCACTGGGTGTCTCCAAGGAGGCTGAGGGATACAGAGGTAGGAGAGGGGCTTTTCAATGTTTATCTTTGTACTTTTTGAGTCTTGCAGTGTGTGTAATTATCATATATTCACAAAATAAAATTAAAATTGAAAAGTAAAATAAAAATCTACTACAAAGAAAAGCATGATCTTAAATCCCAAGGGACCAAATCATATAGACTACACTCCTGGTATCATGCTTAAAGTGTCTTCCACTAATAGAATATCCTAAGGAAGCCTCCCGCAGTGTTTCACGTTACTTATTCTGGAGGAAACAGCCACTGTTAAAAGGCACCACTCACAGTGACTGTGAGAATCCCCTCCCCAACATATTTAGCTTACTAGATTACAGGTCTCTCCTCAACACCACCGATCTAGGGGTAAACCTAGTAGCCTAGGAAGGGCATATGTGGCAATAAATATTTCTATCAGCTAAAGCAAATTAATGACACTGCAGATACTATGTAATAACTTGTCATGACCTATCAATTTGATAGTGTCCAGTAACAACTCAGATAAATAACTTGTTAAAATAAATTTTAAGGTGTTATCTCCAACAGTTCTCTTTAGGAGGGGAGTTGACATTATTATTATGTTGTTGTTTTTTTTAATGTAGGAAGGGTATTTACTATAACAGTTGCTAGTTAGAAAGGTAAAATATGTATCCCTTCACACATTAATGATTGTGAAAGACTGACCAATATTATTGGCACTCTGTTAAACATCACAAAATAATATTAAGTCAAAAACTGGGTAATGCACATAGTCTAGATAACACCATGGCATATTAAACTTATTAAGGTAATCATTTTAGCCTCATTTATAGAAGCACTAATTTAGATATTAAAATGGTAGGGTCTGTATTAATCTTAATTTATTAAGCAAAAAAGGCAGAGTTTAATTTTAAAATAGATACAAATTACACAGGGCTGTGCAAAATATCCAAGTTTTTCTATTCATTATAAGGTACTAATTTAAGTAAGGCTAGTCTACAAATACTTAGCTTAAATGCTATACTGAACCACAAGACATAGCTTTTATGAAATAAATCCAAATGAGACCAAAACTGTTTTTAAAGAATGGATTTTAAAATATATATCTGAACCCATCAACAAATACATCCTGAGTGATAATTCATTCACCTACCCACTTAAGAATTAAAATTAAAATGAATATTAAGCTCTCTCACTAGGTAGAATAATCTAAAGTAGGTAGGTAGAATAATCTACAGTAACTCATTTTGGAAAAAAAACTATAAATTATGAGTTCTAACAATAAAAATTTGACCTCGGTGTTAGAATCATGTTGTTTTAAAAATAATTATATCTACTTTTATATAAGACTGCTGCACATGTAACAAAGATTTCTTTAAAGATTATCATTTTGAAAATCATATACTACTAGAATTTTCTTTTTAATTACAGTAAAACAAATTTCATCAAAATCCTGTGTCACACTGTCAGTCATAAAACTCTCAGAGATATCACCCACATTCCCACCTCAGTTCACCAGTGAATGGAAATAACTGAGAGGCTTCTACTCGTGACTTTTCTAATTTAGCCATCCTGGGAACAGCTTGTAAAGCAAACTAGTATAGGTCAAAACATGGGCGAGGCTGAGCTAATCAGAAACTGACAGCAGTAGCACAAACAAGTTAAACTGTAAAGCACCAAAGGACCCACTGCCTCACTAACAGGAGTTCTGAGTGCCCTGGTAAGACTCACCTTGAATTAGGGTGAATCATGCTTCCACAAAAGATTTGACTTGAAGGTAAATGATAAAAGGTGTAAAAGTTGTTCCCAATATTAGTTAATACATAACTTTTAAAGACAGACATGTTTTAAAACCCAGCAAAGATATTTTAAGTGCCATTGTTTTTATTCTGTTCGAAGTTTTCCACTAAATGATTTATTAGCAAAAGCAAGTGCATTTCCATTACATGGTAAGAGTAATAATATATTAACTAACACTTGCTGTGCTCCTTGTGCCAAAAAAAAGTTCCAAGTGTTTTTCACACAAAATCTCACTTAACCCACACAAGATCTCTATAAAGTAGGCTTCATTAGTTCCATTTTGCAGATTCATAAACTGATGGTTAAAGGGCTTACACACAGGAGCACGGAATAAAATTTTTGGCAACACTAGCAAAAAAACAATAATATAGCAAAAGATGAAGCCCAGCCAAAGTTGTGAAGTCAATTTCCTCTGACATAGCGAAATGAGCTTTTTCAGAGTAGTCATCTTACATATGCTAGAAAAACACGCTTGTATTTGAGTGGCTAAAGTATTCAAATATTGCACTGATCTACCAAATAGTAGCCTTCCCATTCTTCTTTCTTTTTTCACCATTTTTTTAAAAAAATAAAATATTAGCATTCTTTCTGTTTAAAAACAACGTGATTTTTTGGTGGTCATTAAAACGGTAAAGTCTAGAGGCCAGGTGCATTGTCTCACATCTATAGCCTCAGTTCTTTGGGAAGTTGAGGCAGGAGGATTGCTTGAGCCCAGGAGTTTGAGATCAGCCTGGGCTACATAGTAAGACCTCATCTCTACGGGGGGGGGGGGGGGGAAGTAAAGTCTCTGAAAACACCCACAAGACAACTAATGCATTATTAACATTAACTTGACCTTCATTCAACAACTTGGCAAGCCAATCCTTTAAAAACAAGAAAATAGCTGTCACTGCAACAAAATTAATTCTTAACTTTTAAAACACAAAGATTTTTAAATCTGAATACATTATTTTTCTTTAAGAGATTTCTTCAATCTTATTCACTAAGAAAAGAAGACCAACTTAAGAGATAATTATGCTTAAAATGTTATGTTTAAACGTGGAAAATTACATAGCGGGTATTAAAATCTTGCTTGAGAAAAAAAATTAACTTTATAGAAGCTCTGTTTCTCAGTTAAGTGATAGCCTTAAAAATTCAGTTTCTCAATCTAGAAAGAAAAAAAGCTGTGTGGTGGATGAAAGATATAATCACTTTTATAGAAGAATAGAAAAAAATAATTTCAAACAGTATAATTTTAAATATTTTTTATTTTAGTTTTAGACCCTTGTCCAGATGGCAAATGGCTAGCTAGCATTCTATCAAGAATTTCTCAAGCCTGACATTTAGAATTCAACTTCAAAAACAACATATATGTAATCCTACATTTATGTCAATATATTATAGCTAAGGCATGTATTTTAGCAGTAGTAAGACCTTAAGAGAAAACATGATAGAGGGTGGTTTTTCATTTTTAAAAAGTTTATAATTGTTTAGAAATCCTCAAAATTACACTTTAAATACGCAAGTGTCATTAAATTTTCTCCGAGAGAATGTTTAAAATATATATACCAAAAGTATAACAATTTCATAATCTTAAAAGTTAAACTTCTTTAGTCATAAAAACTTCTTTAAGGCAGTGATACTGAGGAATGTTGCTTTGATATTGGGGAAAGATGCTATAAAAAGCCCTTAACAAGAAATAATGTGGGATAAGATTAAAAACTACAAGTAGTAAATTTAAGTGCTTTGGCCGACCGATGAAACTCACAGCTCTTTTAATCAGAGAATAAAAACTGAGGCAAAAGGGGGAGAAAATCGTCGAGCTATTTAATTCCTATCAAATATGTAAACTAATAATGATGAGTGTCACCATCCTAAAAATAAAGATGGCCTACCTTAGAGGTGATCCACTTGATAAGAACCAAGGCCAGACACCAGATCAATGTAATTCCCATTGGATCAATCAAAAGCCCGCTGCATAATCTCTCTCTTCTACTAGGGAGCAAGGAAAACTTCTTAGGAGTCTGATAAATAACCAGCTGTCCCGAGGCAAAAGAGAGGGGACACTGACTGCCTTGGACCTCAAGCAGCTGCCTTCCAACAGTGATCACCTGACTCCTCTGGGAATGCACTACCCAGCCAGCCTTCTTACCCAGCGCATGCTTCATGCCACAAACCCAGGGTTGGGGTAGAACTGCCTAAGTAATGTTGGAAGAGGGGAGGGAAAAGACTTTAGTGAGGGCTGACCTAACAGTCTAACAAAATGTAGGCAAAAAGAGGACTCAGGCCAGCCCCAAACACTTCTACAATCTTAATACTAACAGAGTGCCTTAAAACAACTTTCAAAAAATATGTGGCAGTACTAAAAATGTCTTCATTCTTTTCACATAGAACGGTTTCACAAGCACAGTGTTCGGTGACATTTTAAAATATTAATGCATTTTATTCCATCTTTTCAATTTTTAATTGAAATTTGTTCTTATTATATAACTTTCTATTTCTTTTAGGGATAGAATTACTTTATGAATGTTAGAGGCTGTCATATTATCTGTGCTTCTTAACATTATAATTCACTCATTTTGGACTTACTGAAAAAAAGCTAGTCTAATAGCGCATTTTCAAATAATTAAGGACATATTATTTTCAAGCCCTAACTGCAATCTAACTTATATTTTTGGTACAGATCTTGTTCTCTTGGCTGTAAGTGAGCTTTCTAATAACAAAGTATGCTTCTATTCATCCGTCTTCATAACCAAGAGGCTGCAGATAATACTGCTGAGAAAATGCCTTTTATGAAACTTTCATTCAAGTATTCGGCAAATACTTATCAAGCTGCTAATATGTACCAGGTTCTGTACCAGATGGCAGGGATATAAGCATCGAGTAAAAGCAGACAAGGTTCCTGCCCTTGTGGTGCTTGCAATTTGGTTGGAGTGAACATTAATCAAATTATGTAAATAAACACAAAATTGTAACTGTAACAAGTGCAATGAAGCAGAGGTAGGAAATGCCAGCAAACCTGAATCTGACCTAGTTAAGAGGTGAAGGACTTCTTCCAGAATCCCTGAAATGACCCTGAGATGAAGTGTGATGGCCCAAAAATGTGAAGACGGAAGACAGATCGTGCAGACAGAAGAACAGGCGTGAGGGCCAAAGGGTGAGACAAAACCAAGCCAAGCAAGTCTGAGAGACAGAAAGACCAGAGCGGCTCAAGTGCAGGGAGGAGTCAGATGACACTGCAGCCCTGGGGAGTAGAGGCCAGGCCCTATATGGGCCACCCGGGGGTGTCTTGTCTGAATTTCAATCTACTGAAGTACTGTAGCAGATTTTGCTTTTTAAAAAGACCATTTTGGTCAAGTATAGGGAGGTGGGTAGGGGCTGGATGGGCAGTCAGGCCACCACTGCAGAGGTCCCGGAGAGAGGTGAAGATAGCTTGGCCTGACTGAAGAAACACTCAGGAGGTGACTGCAGTCCAAGACAAGACAACGTCATCTGATTATCAATGTACACAAATGATCCTAAAATATTTAAAAACAACCAAAATAGTTCAAATAATAACATTATTTTCATTATCTAATCCTCAGTACAAAGAGCTTATTTAAAAGAGAAGTCAGTTCTAGGCTTGTCAAAATGAAGTGTAAATTAAATTTATAGGTGTAAATCCAAATTTTCCTAACTTGAAACCATTAATACATGGCCATAAACTTTTCACTTCTTGCTATGGAACTAACAAGTTATAATACTCATATTTGCACAAATCCAGATAACATTTTTATTTCTGCCATGAGACTAGCTTTAATATGAGACTGTCAAGGTCTCTGATTACTCTGCCTTCCAATAAGGTTCTAGCAATGAAACTTGAAGGATGCCTAGGCATGAGTCAGAGCAGCAGAGTGTATGTATCTTAGGCCAATGCTCAAGGGAAACACTGGCGGTCATCTGTAAGAGGCTGTGCAGCCTGGGCCCCGGGCTTCGAGGTCATTCTCTGCCACTCTGGCCTGGGCTATCCACTCCAAATCAGCCTACTATCTTGATGCTTGGCCCAGTGATGCTACCTTTCCCACCTTCACATTTCTCTTCCAATCAACTGCTCAAAAAGAGTCAAGTTTTGAAAAGCAAATACAAGATGGCTATTTTTGGTACAATACTTAGAAAATCATAAGTGAGATGATTTAAAAAGACGCAGTAAGAAAGTTCTAAAAGTTGTCTCACTGAAATGAATTTCTATCTAGATTATTTCTACCATCTCAAAACTCTACTGGGCTTGAAGTTGAAAGCCTAGATTTATTTCCCAGCTTTACTGCCAAGAGTAAATCACCACTTCTCTGTGCCTTATTTTCCTCCCCTTCATGGGAGGTAAGTGGTATCCATAAATAGCTAGCTCGTAGTCGACTCCCAACAAATTTTTGTTAAATCAGAATTAAACTCTACTGTATTTAAAACCTAGAAATGAGAATGCCCTAACCACTCTAGCTTCACCTTAACTCAACTTAACTGCAATCACAACGGTCCATGAAGAGAACTTGCACTGTGTTTGCAAGTGCCCCGAGAAACCTTCTCTGATTCTCAGCAGGACGAGGCTCTTGGCTTTCGTTTCTCATGCTAGTTAATAGGTTGGCTCCCTAAAATGGTTCCCCCAGCATCCACTTCCTAATTTCTACTAACGTCTGACACGGTAATACAGAGATAACCAAGACACAATACTCCCCCAGATCAGAAAATTTCCTATTAGAGCAGAAAAGGCTATTGAGTTTATGCCTAAAGTCATAAAGCTTTCATTGCTAATGACACATTTACATCACTCAAATCTTACAAAAATCTCAGGCAACACAGTTTTTCTTAAAGTAGTAATCTAAACTTTCTCAGTGTCATAAACCTAATGGCTATAAAACTTTTTCTTATTTTGAGATACATTTAGGACTACTTATCTTGGTGATTTATAATTAAATTTTAATAATAATAAAATTTCAATAAGATGAAATAAAACAAATGCTGTTTCAAATTAATATAAAATCTCTTTTACAATAAATATTATGCTTATACCTTAGATAATTCTCCTAAAAGTTTATTTTTCCAGAGTTGGATCATGTAGTTTATCATTCTATAAAGCTACCTCTTTTACACTAATAACAAATGTATTCTTTTACATTAACTGTTTTCGTAGTTGTCTCAAATCCTTAGTGAAACATGGCAAAGTAATACATCAGGTGACTATTCTAGAAAAATTAATGCATAGGATACACTTAAAATTTTCAAAAACAGAATCTGATACTATAAGAAGAAAGTATAAAACTTTTTACCTTTCTGGGGTTTATAAGGCTAATATCAGAAAAGCTGAGTTAAAAGTAGACCTCACTATTTTATGAGTGTGATCAATAGAAAAGAAAATATGACTTTGTTCATTGTTTCTTAGAGAAGTAATCCAAGAGAAAATTTTATCCCTGGGGCTCTCTGACACTCACAGGACACCTGTCAATCTTGGCAATAGCCTTCAGCTATCCATACAGAGACTCAGCGTGTCCCTCTCTTGCCCAAATTAGGCTAACCTCATCTGCATTGACATCAGTGTCTATAATTTTGGAATCCCATGGACAGAAATAGTCTATCACAGAGTTCTTTATACAAATGTAGTGTCTGCAGAAAACTATAACCAAATTTATGACAGAAAATATGTGAACACTATAGTAAAAACCCTCCAACTGTGCTCTCATCATTTTGAATTCCAGCCCACTTTAATAACAAGTAATAAATCAGAGTAAGGTTTTGGTTTATTTCTTTTACTAAAAACAAAGGCTTTTTATTCTTCAAATGGTATGAATTTTAAGTGACATGAAACTAAGAAAAAAGATTCCATAACTATCAAAAACTTATTTAAAAGCTATGGTACTATGGGAGTTTTGCCATTCAATTAAGACCTTTCTGTAATACTGACTTAGAGCTCTGAACTTTTTGTCATGTAGTATTTGAATATTTGATGAAAATGGCATGTGATTCCTCCTAGTATAAAGAAGTAAAAAAACCCAAAAACCTTGACACTTTACCAATAATTCAAGGCTTCAGGTCCCAGAAAACATCATCTTATGATACTAAAAGCACTTAAAAAGTCTCTGGTGACATTCTTAAGAACCAAACAGACAAACAGAGCCCCATGCTACAATTAGGCACACTCCTAGCTGAACAAACACACCCAGAGATAATGTATTTGGGCGGAAATACTTTCCCACCCAATTCTTCAAACTAGTGGAAGAATTCTAGAAGTAACCAACAGGACTCTTCATTGGATCTTGTCTTGTTCCACAGTTTATTTACTGGCATGTAGATCAGAAAAACACATAGCAAATCTGCATATAAAACAAAAGGTATATCAGCATGCTGAATTACAAAATTAAAAAAAAAATTAAAGGTATGTCAGTATGCTGAATTTCAAAAATTTTAAAAAATTGTCTGCATTTGATATAAAATAAATTGCATACCTATAAAACAATGAAAATAAGTTTTAAAAGTTTTCTTAAAGGCTAAGATGTTTAAATTCTAAATTAATGAGAGATAATAAGTGAAGACAATCTTAGGAGAGACAATGAGATCAGGTACGTTTCCAAATCAAGGATGTTCCACTATCAATACAGGTCACATAAGAAGAATGAATTCAGTTCTGAATACCACTGCAGATGATACATGATTACATGACATATTTTAATGTCGACAGGGATACAATACAAGGAATAGTTTTACAACTGAAGCTTCAGGCAAAGAAACATAAACAAGGACAGAATAGGTGTTAAACTGTTGTAATATAAAATAACCTAAGGAGAAGTTTAACTTTATTTTGGGAAATTACATAAGGCAGAAGTAGGACCATGGGCACAAGTTTGTTAAAAACAGAATTTGACTCTTACTTCCTAAGAACTTTCTAGAGTTTATTACAACTTTCTACAATTAAAATCATGTAAGTATCTGCCTCAAACTAGTCTCTGTTCAGGGGCTTTTCGGCTAGGCTTGAACAAATGACTTTCAAGGTCTCTGCCAGTTCTAAGGCTCTACAGTACTATAACTGACAGCTCATAAATGCTTATAGGCCAACAGTTTTAATTTTAAATTTTAAACTTAAGGCAAACTTGAACCAAATCATGACAAATTTTT